GAACGCCTTGCCTTTGCCTCTCTGCCGAAAGGCTAGAATCCGATGGCCAGGGACCAGGCGCTGGAGAGAGCAATCGGAGGACGGGCAGAGGATGGAAGTCCTTAGAGAGGTCACCACAGGAACATCTCCCATGTGAGAGTTTCGTTCCATCAGTAAAGACTTTGGCGCCTTCAACTATGGGCGGACTTCCCCTTTTCAACGCTCAGTTTGTCGAACTGCTTTGAGAAAAAAAGTAATTTCAAAACCCAGTTAGAGCACGTCGACATTTTCTCTGGTTGAGTCTGCATTCTTCGAATAACTTACCGCTGTGAAATTTGTGAGAGTAAACCGAGGTAAAGCGTGGCATAATCACAGCGGTGAAAATGTAGTTTGGGGGAGCCACTCATAATATCTAATCAAAGTGGCAATATCTAATCGAAGTGGAGTTGCGGAAGGGCGGTCATATCTAATCAACATTCAGAGCACAGGCTCTGAGTGTACGATTAGATAGGGATACCAACCCGGGATTCCGTACAAAATCGGATACCTGAAAGGCCCTTTCGCCAAGGGCTTGCATGGCAATCGCAAGAAGGGTTGGTGAAAGTGAAGAGCCAGCAAGGTGGCAGCCATTTTCGCCATAGAATAATATGACAAGGGTAACAAGTGTGCTGGTCGTAGCCGCTTACTCAGTGAAAGATATGATAAGATATGAGTGCCTTCCCGCAACTCTTGATTAGATATGAGTGTCTTTCCGCACTCCACTTCGATTAGATAGGGTGCCCCCCCCCGAACTACATTTTCACCATCACAGCGAATTGTGTGATTTTTAAGGACCTGGTTTGCCATTACGATGCTCAAATCCTTCCTCCCTCGAGTGCAGATGGGTCCTTATTTCTCCGCTTCTTCCCAAAAGAGGCTTATCACAATTCTCTGAGTGCACTTTGGCAAGAGCATGGAATTGCCTAGCATATCGGATGAAGCACGTCACCACAAACTCGCAAAATTTTTATTCCCGCTTTTACGAATCCATGGAATAACACGGCATTTTGCCAAAAATCGTGATAGGCGCCAATGGCTGCACAGACACTTGAACAAGAACTAAGTAAAACTTTATCACATTCGACAATCCTATGATAAACTGCAAGGTAAAGGACGAAAACTACGAGCGAACGGGTGTGGCACTTACAGGCACCTCGCTCATTTGGGACAAGTTATTCACCTCCACGCGTGAGACAGCCATTGAGACTGAGGGCGATAGGGTGTGGTTCATTACAACAGAAAGCGACTTTACCGCTTCACGCAGCGCGAAGCTTTTTTCGCTGCAAACCTCAAATCCACCACTGATGAGGGCCGGGTGCAGCAGGTCCCGGGGATGGTTCCCCGAAACTTCACGTCTCTTAACCATCCCCCTACTCTTGATTACAAGAATTGCGTCATCAAGCGGAGCAGAAATGCAAGGTTTGAGGACCCATCCCCCGGCCGGGGCTTGGTGCACCCGGCACCAGCAGAGTGCCGGGGGACGTAGCACGTAAATGTTCAAAACTAAAAATGTGTTGACCATAAGCAAAAAAAGCTACTTCATAAAAGCAAGCAAGTTCAGAGAGATTTTCTTTCCCTCCGTCAAAAACAATTATAGCACGCACCCCTTGATCGCAATTTCTGAGAAGGAACATAGCGCTGCTGTCTACAACTCGTCCAAAATGACTTGCCGATGTGCAGTGCCAAGCCTGGTCTTCGGTCGTACGAATTCCAATGAATTTCCAACAAAAATTTTTCGCATGCGATTCTATAAATGGCATAGAATAATTTCACATCAACATTAAATACATTTTGAGATTACATCGAAAACTGCGGATATTCTAACATTGTGAACCTCATTGATTCATCAATGAAAACTTCTATAATTATGCTTTCTGATAGTCAACCATGAGGTTCAATCATCAAATGATATGCAAAATTCATAAATTATTACATCACCGACAATCATGTTTCTTGGGTACGATAAAGTATAATCTATAAAATAAATATAACAACGTTCAAGTTTACAAAACCCGAATTTCGTCCTAGAGTGTGGACTAGAGCAACTTTTTGTCGTTGATTCCAAGCGCTCTGAGCCGTTCCACTTCCTCTTGTATGCCTTTCATGTTTGCATCGACTGAATCTGGAAAGCAAGCAAACGTTCAATCCCACATTGAAGCTTCCTTAAGAGTACGCCAAGGGAGGGGGAGGGTCATCTGATGCAATAGTGCGTTCCATCTACAGTATTCTCGATTTTTGCAGGGGAGAAGCTCCTGGTGAGCATTTTGAAAATCGGTCGAGGATTCGTCGACGACTCGTTGTGGATTTTCGCTTTTCAGTCACGCTCCCCAGCGTAGTCTCTCTAGTCAATAACTTTCGCCACGTGCGAGCCGTCTGTGCTCTCCGCGTGTACATTCACTCTCATCACTATTCCCACACAGTACAGAGCCATGGTCGAGGACTTCCTTGACCGTTATTCATCCTGCTGGTGAATGCGAAAGTGGGACCGGAATGGTTCACACTCCCAAATCTCGAATCCCGAAGCTTCCTCCTTGCAAAAATTAGGATTTCTGTGAAGAGCGCTAAAATTTGCATCATGTGCCTACACCCCTCCCCCGTATTACTATATAGCGTTCAATGCCAAGTTGAGAATATAAAGAAAAAAGTTTTACGACGGAATGATCAAACCTTCATGAGTGAGTAGCAACGGGGTTTTGGGTGGCGATGGAAGAGGAGTACGAGTGGAGAGAAGATGAGTAAGGAACCGATCGAATTCCATGAAGGACAGGCTGTCATGTAGCGTCTCCAGAGATCGTAGAGGTGGCCAGAAGCGTCTTATTTCTAAAATCAGCCTCTTCATCCTAACAGAATAAATAGGCGACCATCCAGCTTTTCACATTCTGCAGCTCAATCCAATGGAATCAACGACAAAGACGATTCGATTAGAAAAATCTTACCTCCTACGGAGATATCATCTTCAGCTTTGTACGTCTGAAGACGAGGGGCGCTAGAAGATCTAGCAATGACTGCTGTGGACATCACGGCCGGATTAGGTATGTCTGCAAGTATTGAACATTATATGTTAATATTTTGATTTGTTTTTATTGGATCTGCGAACTGTGGCGTAAAACAGCAGTTATCCAATAAAACAAGTCAAAATGGTAACATCTAGTAAAGCTTTCAGCCTTGCGGTTGATGCCGATATCGGCTAACCGGCTCATCACGTTATACGTGCTGAAAGCTATGGTACGTATACCATGAAAAGCTGAGTTGGAATGAAATGGTGCCCCGGTGGTGTAACTGGTAGCACAATTGCCCGGAAAGCAAGAGATCCGGGTACGAATCCCGCTGGGGCGAAAGTTTTGCTCACAACTCAGCGTGACAATTATATGTTAATATTAAGTGATCATTTATAATACAATCCCATTGATTGGTCGAAGGACAAAGAGACCAAATTTAAGAAAAAAAGGCACGACGGAGGTGATTACATAAGTGATATCTCCAATGCTGTAATTCCGTATACATCCGCATCTCGAATTCTCGAGCAGTACTGAAGCAGTATACCAGAGCATGGAGAATGATGGCTCTTCCTCTTCTTGCAAACAATCCAATGAACATGTAAAGAAGAATTCCATGATCGAAGAAGGGGAAACTTACCTAGTGGGAAGACATACGGAACTCCTAAGGATGCGGACTGACAATTCGCATCGGAGGATATGACCCCGGCGACTGGCAGTACTTTCCCTTTGGCGCAATTGGCCCGGTACGCCCTCCCTTCTCGCATCGTCTCACGTCTGTCTCTAGCCGTCAGGCGGAAACAGCATTTGCGTTCAGGACAGCATCGTGTAATCGTGAAAATGCAGAAACCAACGGGCAAAGGAGGGCTCCGTTTCTCGGGTTCCAGGCCATTTTTCTCGGTTTCCTTTTCTTTCTTGTGTCACTGACCATCTCTGACTCCATTGCCAATGGGCTGCCTTTTCATCGCAAGATCCGCCTTTGAACGACAAATTGAGCAATACCGGTACAGGTGCGCGTAGCGCGACTGTAAAGGCGCGATCACTATGACTAGAGTGCCGTGCGATTTTGATGTGTCCCTTAAGACCTCTCCACCGTTGACGTTCAATGACGTCATCGAAACCCCCCACCCTTCAGCCATCGTAATCACTGCCTTCAAGAGCTTACCTTGGTGAAACAGGGAATGGTGTAAGGTCGGCTGTGGCGCAAGACTGTTTTCACTATGAAACAACCCAGTCCCACCCTTTGAAATGTCCACTTGACAGCTTGATTCAGCCTGACGCACGCGCGTGATGAATAAGTTGAGCGAAGGGATCACAAAACACAAACCCTTTTGTCGTAACAGGGCAGGGAGAAGAATGAACCGGGCGGCTGAGAATCAATTTGTCAACCCTTGAATAAGATTGCATTTCAAAAGGAAGACTTCTTCATGCGCTCTGTGGGCTGGTTCCACAGCAGTTGCGGAACGTAACAGCAATTTAAACTACAAGCATCCCACTCACACCACACGTGTTATAGGATTCAGCAGGGCTCAGGGTCGAGTCATTTGCAGTTCGAGTGTGGGGTAGATACGTATCGATGGTACAATCGCAAAACCGTATGGCCAATACGTGTCTACTCACACTCGAACTGCAGACCGAACTGCAAAGTAGTATGCCCTGAACAATGTTGCAGTTAAATCACTGCAATGCATGCACAATTAATAAAAACAAATAAAATTAAGAAAGAAATAAGAGCAAAAAAATATTTGTAAAAATTCTGACCAAATAATATAAAACGAAAAAGTCCATACATGTCTGCCGACGATTTTTATCCGAATGATCGCCGCCGCATTTGCCCATAAGGACATTGGTACTGATTAGGCGATTTTGGACGGAACCGGAACCTCCTGCAGAATTCGAAGTCGTTAGGTTCGGAAAAATTTCCTTACAAGGAAAAAGGCAGAAAGAGAGCCATTATGACGTTATTATATGGAAGAGAGAAAGGATAGGAAAAGAGAAAGGAGAATATGAAAGAAGTTGGTCAACCACCCTCCATGCAACAAAGCTATCTACATTTCTATGACATTCACAAATCTATCTGACCAATTCTGCGAACAATTATGGAACTGATGATAATTACAAAATAAATCTAACCTGTTAGTAGATTCACAGTATGATGTTTGAATCTATACGGGAATCGTGAGCGACGCGCTAGAACGAAACACAATTAGTTAAACGTTATATGAACAGAACCGCGAAAAAAAAATCGACTTCTAGTTAATCGATAATTGATAACACCAAGCACAAACACCTCTCTAAGCTCTAAGCAAGTAACAGACAACAGATATAACAATTCAATCGCATTTTATCAATCATTTCTGCTGTCTAGTATCACGCCACCAAATCATAGGACACGCCCACCAAATGGGCGTGTCAGCCCAAACTTTTTGTACGGCTAACACTTGATTCCCATTGCCGTCTTTGTTGTATTACTAGGCACACATAGACACAAAGCTCTCTCGAAGTTTTCGACACCTCCCATGACAGAATTGTTGCGAATCAATAGGTAATCGATTGCCAGCTAGGTGATTAGTGATTAGCAGAGGATTGGTATGATGTTACGTCAAAAAAGAGATCGTCACACGACAACTCGTCCACATACATTTTTCGTCGGCCACAATGCTATGATCCGTGTTTGGCAAAGCTGAAAAAAACTCATGCGTTATATCGGTGAATTGGAAACCAACGACTTAATAAAGAGGAGTGCAAGTGCCAGGACAAGAAAGAACAGCATAAAATGAATAAAATTACTAATGACGCGTTGCAAAGCTTCAGCGCGCATTGATTCCTGCTCGGGGCACAGCAGCCAAGAAAAAATCCTTCCTTTTAACTTTCACTGAAATATGGGCCGTATGCTATCTCCCCGAAGGGGTTAGGGGACGAAAATTCCTTTAAATTTTCTCTGTCTTCCCAACTGGGATTGCCCTGATAAAGGCCTACATTTAATGTATGTATGTAGGTTAAAGTAAACATGCATTGAAAATGAAGAAACTACATCGTTCAAAACAAATAAATTTAAAGGAAACTTTGCGTCACCTAGCTTCGGGGAAGCATAGCATACGGCCCATGGCAATTACTGATTGCAAGTGCTTCATACCTAGCAGCGCACTTGGCATTGCATAGCAGGTGCCAGACTTTGAAACAAATCGCTAGCGAATCACTGAATGCGCTTACGCATCACTCAAATCCCTTGAATCACTATCGTTTGGTCGCAGTCTGATATCTGCCTATGCTGGCAATGGAAACGCTCGCATGGCTGCCATATTATGGAAATGACGCGCAACTTCAGCGCGTGCCGTCACAGTTGAAATGGAAGCGCATAGCCGACAATATTTTGAGTCTCGTTTAACGAGAAAGAAGGTTACTGGACACTTCATTCGTTTCAGAAGGTAATCAAGCTTACTCGTTTTTTTGAACAGGATCGTTACATGAAGGTTAAGTAGTTTTTGGGTACGCACTCCTTGTATATGAATTAAATAGGAATCTTGAATGGAAATAGGTTGAGAAAAATCTCGAATTATGAATCAGCAAACCATGCAACAGGTGAGTATCTACTATACAACACTGTCATGCTGCAGTTTCCACCGCTACTTCATTACCTTTCAGTCGCTTTTTTAAAATTTTACGCGTAGGTTTCGTAACGGCGCGACACTGATCCATGGAGGAGATGACTCACATGTGCTGTCCTTCCGTTCCATTTGCTTTTCTTCAACCTCTGTGATGCTATTCATAGCTTTTCTTGTTTCATCCACAAGCTCGTTCGCCCATTTGCCTCGCCCATGGCCCACAGTTGCCTGACACTCCTCGTCCCCGACAGAGACCTTAATCAAGAACTTCTTGAGCGAAATTATCTTATTATTCAGTAATATTTAGTTACATTTTCAACTGCTCATTCTGATTGATTATTTTTGAATAGCCAGAGAAAAACTCCTACATATTGTTGAACAGCGTTGAGAATAACCACTACAAACTCACCTGACTGGGACTCTTCATTAGTCCGTTGGTTTGCTTCCAATCTAACGTGAGATCCTCCCTAGGTAGATCACCTTCTTCGCTCGCTTTCTCTCCTCCAGTTGCATGTCTTTGCCTCTTCCCAATCTTTTCTTCTCCAGCTGAAAGGTTTTTGAGATGGCACACAGTGGGTGGATTGTGTTAAGAGTTAGCGAATGGAACGAGCAAAAATCTGATACCACGCCGTGCCATGCATTTCGAGTGGAGTAAACGATGGAAGAAAGAATGGAGAAAAGGAGACTCAAAAAAGTGAATAGAAAATGCACTAGAAAGTAAAGGAAAAATTTGCTAACGGTACTGCTTCGTGTTCACTTCGTCCAGTGCGACTAGATTCACTGAATGCGCGTCGTTGAGATCGTCCTCAGAATCGGGCTGATGCATTTTCGACGAAGAGCTTACCAACCTAAAGCATAACTGATAAGTATTTAAATCAGTTGAGAACCACTCATTAGTCTTCAATTCCGAAACAGACACGTAAATTCCTGGCCTAGAAATCCGATATTTAATTCATTACTAGCTAAACAAAAAAAATCAGCCGTATTCAGTCATTATGCAATCTAAAGTCACCCAGTCGTTTCGGCTGCTTTCTGGTCATCATTCGCACTCGATACGGACACATCGTCAGCAGGTACCGGTACAGAAATGAATATCGGCTGAGGCTCTTCGTTTTTCTCCTGCAACACATAAAAGAAAGGATAGACGTCATGTTGATTCATTCCTCGCAGGCTCCACGTCTCTGCCTTTGAATGGTGTTCAACTATTACGCATGCCCATAAATACTTTCCATGCCGGTGCGCAGCAGTATTTATACTCGTTTATCTACCGTTCCTGTATCTTACATGAGCTCAATCAGCTCTGATTTGATAGTGCAAAACAAAGTTAGGCGTTGGTTTTGCAAAACGTTTCACATAGGTCCCGTGGGCCGAAATAATGAAGACAATGAAAAGATTATTACTCACTTTGACAACCTCCGCTGATGAGGGTGAGACCGACCCGTTGCAATTCCCTTCTCGTGAGTGACTCTTTGTCATTCCGTTAGATTTGCTTAAAAATTTTACAAGTACTCACTAAACTTCTCACTAGTGGAGGATAAACAAAAGTTTGGATGAGTGTTCTTACTTTAGCCGATTTTCATAGATTCGCTCCTTCTCGGTTAAGAAACATGGATACAGTCCTGGTGAGAACAAGAGCTCAATATGGAAACGCTCCGTACCAGTTGCAGTACTATCAGTTCGACTATCCTCGTATACCATCAGGACCACCTTGAGTACAAACAGTTTATTGTTTCAGATATAATGGATATTAATTTGAGATTCATACTTGAAAAAATGCAAAAAAAGACTACGGGAAGTCAGG